CAACTGAAAATCTCTTCAAAACCTGGGAATACAGACTAAGCAAAATAAATGACTTCTGTAATGAATTTCTTATATCCTTTTATCCTTCACAGTAATACTTTTTTTGAATATTTTATGAAGAATAAAGCTGCATCTAAAAGAAAAATAGCAACGATATTCATAACTTGTTGAAAGTTTCAAGTGACTGTTTATTCTCTTAAACATAACAATGTTATTTATTTAGTTGAAATCATTTTTGTTTAGTGATAGCTATGCGATATATGACCCTTTGTTGAATGGATACTCGAAGAGTGCATTCAAGTTTATATATTGGTAGCGAATAAGAAAAAGAAAAATAGTATTACTCAAGAGTAGAATTCGGAGAATGGTAAGACCAGAAGGTGATTCTATCACATAGTTTTCATAACATTGCATGTTTTGGTATTTTTTTTTGAACAAGCTACTTATTTTTCTTTTTTTTCTTATTTGGCGTGTTCATACACTAGAGCACTTCGCGGGGTCCTATCATATGCAGTCGACGATTGCTTTATTTTGAAACGCAAAGTCTACAACAGAAATTAGATTCTATAAGATAACATGATTCATATACGTTTGGTATTTATGAATCCAGCAGCAAATGTTTAATTGCATTCATCTAATCTAGACAAGGGAAAATAGATCCCTGTCAAAATCAGAAGAAAAATTTATCGTAAAAGTATAATAGTTTTTCCAATCGCAAAAAACATTACTTAATAGGAACAAGTTAAACAGATGCAAGCGAAATCATAGGTACAAAATAACTTCGAAATCTTCAGATTATTAATATTAGCTGTTGTTTTTCCCGTATAATAAGAGTTCTATAAATTATAATATCGTTGTGTATTATCGAAATTCATTATAAAAACTTATTTTTATGAGATTGCAAAACAACAGCTATCAAAAAATTTTCTTATCCATTTAAAAATTTTGAAATGTAGTGTATGTCTAGCTCATTTTTCTAGACATTCGTGAGAAACACTTGCTTTTACCAAACTATAATCGACATGATGATAGTTCCCAAACAACCTTTCTGTTCATTTGTATCTGTATGAAAAATCTCGAAATCAAGCCTTTTTTAAATATGCTTTGGTTCGGGTCGCTTGCGGATAACAACATTAAAAGTATATTCTTTGATAAAAAGAATTTCAAAATGATGTAGCTTGCAATATCAAGAAAGTTTATTAAGATAGTGATCACGAGTTGAATAATGCATAAAAATCTTAATGTTTCGGAAAATAACATGAGAAACCAGTCAGGTCACGTATTTAATAAAAAACAAAAGATGTCTTTGCGGATACTTCAACTTTTTTGGAAGAATATCACTTATTATCGTGAATTTTCATAAGTTACATTCATTACTAGTTTGAGTCATGCTATGCTTGTATGATAAGTTTCATAGAATCAAATAAATGCTTTGAATTTATTTATTGGCTAAATGAAACTTCCAAGGGATTCGTACAATAAAAGTTAATGATTGTTATTAATTGCGAACCCGATCTGAGTCATTGATGAGTTTCAAGTAATATTAATACGTAAATTTACTTAAGTTAGTGTCCATCACATATCGATACCTTCAAGCTCGATCGTTTTTTTCATAGCAAGGTTTTGGTATGGTTTTTCTCTTCTACTTTTTCGAATTCAACTTTTACTCTGACGAGGAAACATTTTTGACTGTCCAATCGCTTTTGAGATCGGACTCGGTGCATATTGTAGACCCTATTCAGGTATGAAAAATTGCAGAAGAATAAATGCCCTTAGGCCTTCTGTCAAGACTTATAGGCATTTTACTGCAATTTTGCCCTATAGTATGTTATACATCGAAAGATTGAAGTAGAATATTTCGAGTTAAGATTAAATCTGCATATAGTTCTATTTGTGAATAAAATATCCTGACAATTTCAGCTCAAAATAATGTTTCTCTTCTGAAATATTAGAGCCTTCAAAATCATCAAAAAAGCTAGAATATTTTTGTTTTTTTGGACTTAAATATCTCAACAAAGAAACATTATTTTGAGCTGCAATTGTCAGAATATTTTATTCACAAATAGAACTATATGTAGGCTTAATCTCAACTAAAAATATTCTACTTCAATTTTTTGGTGTATACCATACTATAGGAGAAAGTTGCAGTAAAATGCCTATAAGTCTTCATAGAAGACCTAGGGACATTTGTCCTTCGGCAAATTTTCATATCTCAATAGGGTCTACAATATGCATCTAGTCCGAACTTCAAAGCGATTGGTCAATCAAAAATGTTCCCTCGTGAGTTTGTGCCTCGAACAGGATAATGAGACTTGTCATTTAGCTGGAGATTCAACAATGTTATTCTGTGTTTTATCTTAGTTTACTTTTCTATGAATCGAATTCATCATCTCTTTGTTCTCACCTGTTAATTTGTACTTGAACATACTTCGACCTCTTCTGATCTTTCATCTTATTTTGTATTCCATGAAGAAGAAGAATTTAATAAAAAAAGGTCTGTTCATTCGAATCTATTCGATTCCTTAACTTTTACAATAATGAATTTAGATTCGAGTCGATTCGGCCTTCACTACTATAGTATGAAGGATATTATTCTTGCACCAGGCATCATGTATTAGTAATGTCTTAGTGCTCTTTACTGAACAAACTATTTATTTTTCTGTTCCCATTCTCGTCACCTTTCCATACATTTGATTTTTTCATACACATATAAAACGAACATTGTCTTTTTACAAAACAAAATGTACCGTAGAAAATAGACTCTGTATACAAAACAAACTATTCGTCAAAGTTCAGTATCAACGATCACGGAAACAGGGTTTAACTGATATTAAAAGAAAGCAATTTCACTGACGAAATGAACATAGGAAAACTCATAGATACAACAATTAGCTTGTATATCAACAACTATAGAAGTGCTCTAGAATTTATTCGAAAAAATATTCAAATTATAATAAACGTCTTTCGAATTTGACTACCTAATCTGTATCACTATTTTTTCTTATTTGTGTTAGTGTAGTTTATTAAAGTCAATGATCACTTTTACGGAAGGTGATTACGTTCATTTGTTGAGTATCTATTAAATACTTCCACTTCAAGAGTTGGACTTCTTTTTTCTTACTTCTTTTCTTAATGATGTTTCG